GTTTGATTACTTCCCCAGAAAATCAAGACTGATAGGTCAGCATTGGGCTGTCCTCGTGGACGAGTTGTCAAAAGGACATCCATTTGTGAATCACCATCATAATCACCAGGAACTACGCTGGTTATCACAACATCACTAAAATTAAGGAAAAAAGTTTAAGTACCAAATATACTATAGCAAAACACTAGATCAAAAGAAATGTCACTTATATAACATTACTTTACATATAATTCTTCTAGCTCAGTATAAAATCTTGACAAAATTATCTTCAGCATTGTACCTTCCTAAATTCTGTAGCGTTTATGGCTTAATTGATTTCACACTTCAGAACTAGTTCTTCAGAGAAAATACATTTTCATCCTCCAAAAAAATGAATCTTCAAAGATTAAATTTTACCTCTCATATTACTGGCAAATAGGGCTGTGGAAATCATGGATTGGGCACTTTTGTGCTTCTCACAGTATATTTCTAGGACTCTATTCTAAAAAGCAGACTATTTTCACCAGAGCCACATTTGATACACTATTATATTGGTCTTAAAATTGATATCAGTTTCTAAGTGCACTGTAGTTTAATCAATTTAATCCAAATAAGATTTCAGCATAATGAGAAAGGGAAAGTATTAACATTTTAAAAGATTTTAAATTCTGGATATATCATGGCTAAAACCATTATAGAGCCTACCAACATCTCTACCGTGACTGTTGGTGGAGGATCCTGTAGAAATGAAGTAGATAAAGGGTTTGAGGTTTTCCCCCCATCTTTCCCTGGCCGTGCCCACCCCCGCTTTATACTGTTTCAATTCAAAAAGCAGAAGAAACAAACTGACAATAATCTACAGTATTTTTCTGAAAACCATTGGCAGCATTAATACTTTAAAAAAATACCAATATATTGCATGTACAACTCTAAGAACATTTATTGAAAAGTATCTTCTACTCAGAAAAGGGCTTAGTACGTGCTCTGCAGTGCTCTGCTTAATTATGACTGTAAAACACCACTATGAGTAGATAAATCATGAATTATTACTTTAATCATCTTTGAGGCTGCAGAAAAATCCCCATATGAGCATTACAAAACAGAACCTGAGTGTTAATAGTTACATAAATTTAGCATCCAGATACATAGAATGAACAGCACACAAAATCTATTGGAAGAATTCCAGTAAATTGTATTTACCTTAATAGTAATTTGACTTTGGGTTTAAAGTAGGGTTCTTTTTGGTCTGCAAGGAAGATATTTAATTCGCTCTCTGTAAAGGGAGGAAATACATCCTTTTACTTCAACAGCAACAACAAATATCACACTAACATTTGTTTAACTTTCTGCCTTCATGAGTGCTATTCCCCCTGCCCCATATCATTTCACCTCATCATCTAAAGAAACCAGAAGCACATACTCTGCTTTCTAGAAGTTTCTGAGGAATATAAGTGTCAGCCCCATATGTAGACCAGATGAAGAAATCAACTCCACAGGAAAGCTAAAAAATTAGAATCTTGCAAGTCTGACTGTGCCATACCACCTCCTCCTTCTTAAAGTTCAGCAAATTAGGAAAGTGTCTACCTGAGCCACGTCTGAACGTTATCTGGAAGTTTTATCCCTGGTTGACTTGGCAACAGAGCTTGCCCGTCTCTGTCAAGATCATTTTCCTTACTCTCTACAATATGCATACATGGATCATAATGGTCATGCCAAGACTACTTAACTTTCCTGATGCTCTACTTCTATTTCATGTGGCAATGCTAGAACACGTTCAGCACTCCAAAGTTCACACTGCAGTTTCAGGTAACTTTGTTATTAATTATTGCCCATGCATGAAGTCCTAAATTCTTTGGGACAAGTTTTAAAAATCATTGCTGTGAGATTTTCAAAGAATTAAAAAAGAAATGCCTAGTTTTCTTTAAAACAAAGATGTGAAATTAAACCACACCAAAATGTACTGTAACGTATTCTTTACCTAAGAATTGCAGATTATACTTCCTGCTGATCTGCATTAGTATATAGTAAAGCAAAAAAAGAGGTTATACTTAGATATCTCCTCTCCAGTGCCCATCCTATTGCTATCTACTCTTTTTATTTTTACAAATTTATTTCTCTTACACTGCAAAGACAATGATTTCTCATGATTTATAAAGTACTAAAAAGCATGAAGAAAAGTTACTCATCAAAAAAGATAAAGTGATTGCTACTTTTATAGTGAAATCCACCAGTGTAGGAATCATGCCTGCACTGGTGGATTTACTCATAAAGGTCTGGAATACACAAGTGCCAATAAACAATGCTACATTCCTTTCACCACTCTAGTCCCCTTAAAAGCTTTTTCATCTGAGGCTCAACCCACAAAACACTTTAGTACTCCACCAGTAACACGAGACATTTCTCAAGCTTCACTCCTTATATCAGGAAATCTCAATTATGAGTTTCACAAATTACATTATGCCTTAGTTTATTGTACATGGGAAAACACACACAGATGCACACACAATACCTGCCTTCATACATATTAAAGCCAAAATGAAACAAGTAACTTTGTAACCTTTGTAAAATAAGCACATTAGCACAAGAAGAAAATTGCTTTCTGTGTCAGAGGGATATCTGATTTGTTTTTATGCCAAAGAGGAACACTTACAGGACACACTGGCTCATCTCTGACTTCAACAATAATGAAATTAAAGTGTATTGTCTGCTAATCACATTTCCGCATGCATTTCTTAACCAACAAAAGGAAAACAATGTAATGTAAGTACACCAATGTATAGAGTTTATGAATCACTGTTAGCATAAGTTTCTAGAGCAGCAGAGTTAACCAGGCCAAAATATTAGGAAGAATGTTTTACAAGACAGTATGCAAGGCAAGTCTTTCAATTATACTCTCTATATTAAAACAATCTTGCATGATTATTTTTAGATTCATTTGTTGGCAAATTACACAGGAATTATTATTGGCATTACTAAGGGATTATTTGCCCTCTGGGTATCTTTGGAAGAACAGAGGTATAGAAATAAGATACATGATAAGACAGCTTTTGCTTTGCATCTTACTTGATCAGTAAAATGAGTAAACAGAAGTAGCCAAGCAACGTTATTATGAAACCATAAAGATTAACATTTATTGTGATATTCCTCCTGCAATGTGAGACTGAAGAGGGGCAAATATTGTCAGTAAAGGAGAAAGTGACTGTTGAAAAGAGAAAACGGGCGATACACATATATTTGACATCTGGCACTCCCCAATGTTCACTCTAATTCTGCCAACCATAGGAATGGTGGCTTCCAATAGATAATCCATAGGGGAATATGACATGAAGCCAGAAGGCAATGAAATTCAAAATCACCTCCCTCCCACATGCATCCCTCCAACTCAGACAGCATTTTATACATCTGATAGTCACCAACAGCCCAGAACAGGTTATACCAGTCCTGATATTCACTACCCCCGGCATGGTGACATTACCATTATCATTAATCTTATCCATCATGACATCAGATAGGGAAGCGTAATTCAGTCCAGAACAAGCACGGGACTTTTCATAGTAATTGTTTTATTGTATCCCTTCATTGGGCCTGGGGATCCCATAGAAGGGTGAAGCCCGTTAAATAGTTGCATTGAGTGTAAGTTTAGAATGCACTCTTTCCTGTTCTTTTGCTACTATAGTGTTTTTAAAACCGCTTTAACTTGATTTTAATGGTTTTGTTTTAATTACATATGTTGATTGTTTATCTTTGTGTTTTAATTGTGCACACCACCCAGAGTCACAAGTGTGAGATGGGCGGCTATATAAATTTAATAAAATCCTAGGAAGAAGGCAATGGCAAACTACTTCTAAAATCTTTATTTATTTATTACATTTCTCCCCACCCATCTCCCCCCAATGAAAATAAAATCTTGCCAAGAAAACTGCAGAGATTTGTCCAGACGGTTGCCAGGAGTCAACACTGACTTGAAGGCACAATCAATCAAATTATAAGATGCAAATAATCCATTACAGAGTTCAGATATTAGCTAGACACAGCGGTATTTGTACAATATAAACTCAAAAGAGCTGGCGCTGTAATCATTTGGCTGACTGAAACCTTTTAAGATCAGATGGAAAAAAAGGCAGACAATACATTTGTAACTGCTGTAAAGAAGATCGGCAGCCGCTTTTTTATATTCCTCTTCTCTTTCTCTGTCTTTCTTTTCTTCATCTTTCCCTTTACTCTTTTTCTTAAATTTGGACCGCTTTTATCATTGCACAACATTCTTCAATAAAAACGAATAATCATCATAAAATAGAGCAGAAGGGGAAAAAAGTTGCTATCCACGTTAACGACAATTCTGAGATGCTTTTGAAAGAGCCCACGACGGTCTGGCTCTTCGCCATCATTCAATGAATGGATTTCGAAAGTGTGGGAGGGGCGGACGAAGCACCAGAAGAACCCTGCTTCACACCCATCAAGCGCGGCCCCCCCCCATTTAAACCCGGGGGATGCATAAACTGCGGCTTTAACAGGCCTGAGAAAATAAAAGCGGGTTCAGCCCCCACGCCCCGGGCTGAACCGACTAAAGCCTCGGCCCGGCCTCTGCCTCTCACCTCTCTTCAGCACGAAGAGGTCGGTCTGCTTGTCGGAGTTGAAGTCCCCAAAGGCGGCCAGCGTCCCGAAGGCCTCGGCCCCGAAGAGCTGCGAGGTGACATTCTGTAGGGCCCGGCCGGGCCTGAGGAGCGCCGCCGCCGCCGCCAGCAGCAGCCACAGCAGGGAGGGCCGGCGACGCCCAGTCAGAACTGGACCCCGGGCGGGGCGGCAGGGCCCCCCCATAGCGCGCAAGACTCAACCCGGTTCCGCCACGGCCAGCACCCCAGGGCGGGCCGGCCACCACCGCGGCCGCTGGCAGGGCGGCGCGACTTCCGGGTTCGCTTTACGGCGCCTCCGCAGCGCGCCTGCGCCTGGTGGATTTACGGCGGGGCCGAGCAACCGTCGGAGAGTTACTGGCAAAGGGGCGGGGAAAGGCGGCCCAGTTGCTCCGGGCGGAGTTTTGAGCGGGCCGCTCTTCCTCCTCTTCCCGCCATGGCGTTTCCTCTGACCGGTGGGAGCTGGAAAGTGCTGGAGCCGAGGGCCCGCTCCAAGCGTTCAGGTCTGACCTCCCTCCCCCTGCGTGCCTCCTCTCTCTCTCTGCCGCGCCGCCTCGCCTGTCCTTCGCCTTCAGAGCTGGGAGCTGGAACTCCAACTCCCAGGATGCCTTGCCAGCCCGGCCTTCCCCGTACTCCTCCCTCCCCCCGCTCTTTCTCTCGCCTGAAGAGCTAACACTTGGACGGGGAACTCTGGGAGTTGTAGTCTCAGCGCTTGCCCCGTTTTTTGTCCTCATTTCTCCTCCTCAGCTGTTCTTTTTTCTCAGCCTCACTCCGTCGGTCCCAGAAAGGGCCAACAACCGGGAGGACTTCAGTTGAAAAGACCTCTTAAAAAGCCGAGCTAACGTCTTAGCCAGAGACTTTTGCCTGACCCCTTGATCAATTGAATTATTGATCCATTGAATTGAATTGAATTGAAAGGGGGAACCTTTCCAAGCCTTGCAATCTCCTTCTTAGGCTGTAGGAGCTCACTTTGGGGCAGGCCCTTTGCTTCCTCTGCCCCGCTCTTAGAGGAGGGGAAATATCAAGAATTTGATCTGTGGAACTCAATAGGTCAAGATAGTTTTCATAGCAAGTTGGCAAAATATTTTATTTTATTTATCAAATTTATATGGCCGCCCATCTCACACAAAGTGACTCTGGGCGGTGTACAATTAAAACCAATATTGGTGCCTTAAGCAGCTCCAGAGAACGCCCCTTTGTTTTAAAGTAGTCTTCTTTTGGTGGGAAAGCTGCATAAATCCATTGGAGTTGGGCAGCTATAATACATTTAAATAATAATAATAATAGTTAAAAAAATAGGAACCAATGTTGGAAGGGGGCTTTGCTCACCATTTGGTGCAGCAATCAGTTAATGGGGAAAGCTACATATAAGACATCTTTAGTCTTACCTTTAAAAACATCCTAAGATCTCTTTAGGGCTTCTGTGTAGATAAGTATATGATTATGTTGCAAATCTGCTATCATGTTCGTATTGTAGACACAAGAACAATCAGATTTGAAAAACATGAGGTGCTCCTAACAGTTCCTCCTGTTTTGCCTACATGGCTAAAAGCCATGTTGAGGAAACCTGAAGTTTCTGCCTGGAGTGCTTAATCTTCGAAATAATTGGTTTGACAAATCAGGGCTTCCCTAACCTCGATTAAAACGTTGTCCTCAAGCCATTTCAATGGTGTCCTAGACATAATGGAATTAATGACTTTGATTATACTATACATAATTTGGTTTGGTCACCAAGATTGAGATTAAACCCTAGTTTTACAGAACTTTTTACTGTATATTCTTATATATTCTATACTGGAGCCATGATAAGCTGAAAATAGAACCTCTGTCTTTAGCAAGTGTGTTTCTGATTATAAGTTATTGAGTATATGTCTTTTCCTCCTGATGGGTTTGGTGTTTCGGATAATTTACTGTCAGAGACAGATAATTAGATGGAGATTTTTAATTTGGATCAAATTATGGTTATGATCGCATAACCAAGGTGGAAAGAGTTACAGCAATCTTCAATTTCCCTGTCTTTGTCCTTGTCTAGTTCTGTTTTTCCTAGTTTTTTCTTTATGTTCCAAGTTTTTTTAATCGTTTTCCCAACCTTGTTTTCCAAGAGTTTTCCTCTCACCCTGTCATTTGATCTCCTGATATTTCTCTCTCTTATCTTTTCTTCCCCTTCTCTTCATGATGTGCTCTCTTTCTCACCGTTTTTCCTTCCTTGGCCCCGTCAATAAGTCTTTCCCTTCCTTGTCTTATAGCTATTTTTGTCTTGCTTGAGGCATTTGGCAGCTTCACAGATGACTTGCAAAGGTGGCTGCAGAGCTCTGGCTGTCTCTGAAATGTGGATTCTGCTATTGCTTGTTTACATTTCTTGCTGTCCCTCCAATATAAAGATCACTAATAAAAGTCTTCAGAGAAAGTCTATCCAAAACATGCTTCGGCCTCAGTAACTTTTATGACCTCCTGCATATTTTCAGCTACATTCTACTTTACTTCTGTGGATGTATCTTCCCTTTATAGGAAGACAATGAAGTTATGTTTCAAATTTGTAGTTTATGTAGAGGGGGAAAAAGTTTTTCTTTACTGTTCATGATGATTACTATGGACCTCTTATGTTCCCTTCAGTCAGATCAATAAACAATTGTTTGGACTGGATTTCAAATCATATCCAAAATAAAGGCCTGTTCAATGCATTATAAACTAAAGTAGCTTACTATATACACCCTTAGGTTAAATAAACTAGTAAACATTAATGGACTCTTAATTTGCAAGGAAAGCATAGTCTTTAACAATCATTAGATTTCCCTGCTGGCTGGGAAATTCTGGGAGTTGAAGTCCACATCTTAAAGTTGCTAAGATTGAGAAACACTGATATAGACAAAGCAAATAATGTCATTTACAGTGGTACCTCAGTTCACGAACTTAATTCGTTCCACGATTCTGGTCATGAGCCAAATTGGTCGCCAACCGAATCAAATTTTCCCATAAGGTTCAATGTAAATAAGGTTAATCCATTCTGAACCATATGTATTATTTTTAACCACAAAAATACGAAACAAAATACAGTACAGTACAGTATGAAGAGAGAGAACACTAACTTTGCTTGATGTGACACCAAAAAGCTTCACAGCAAGTGTCGGTCTGCGATTGCAATCTCGCCTAGAGGAAGCCACGACCATGTGTCAGAGCAGGGAAGATGGCTGAGGGTTGTGTTCGTCACCCGATGCAGAGTCCGCGAACGGAAGCAAAATTTTGCGAATGCTGCTGTTCACGAACCGAATTGTTCGTGAACAGAAGTGTTTGTGAACCAAAGTATTACTGTATCAATATGAGGCCAATCTGATTACTTCATTTTTGCAATGAATAAGTAAACAGTTAAGAAAATAAGTGCTGTGCTGCTTTATATGAGTTCAAACAACTCTCGTTCTCAGCAATCGGTGGCCAGGTGTATTTGTACAGAATGCCAGATTCCAGTCGTGCAATAGATCCATTCAGATAATGTTGCTTACCAATAGCAGCAATTAAAAATGAAAAGCATACTGCTGCTGATACTAGAAGTAACAAATTGTTTTCATGATCTAACAGGATTGTGACTAATCTCTTATGTATAGAGCAGTGTTTCTCAACCTTGGCCGCTTGGAGGTGTGTGGATTTCAACTCCCAGAATTCCCCAGCCAGCATATTGAGCCTTACATGTAGTGACAGTGCAATATGACAGCTTCCTGCCTATATTTACTGGTGGACCACAGCTGATTTTGTGATTTTGGGCAATGCTGTTTTGCAGATGTCAGAAATGGCTCTTCTCTAAACTTGAGGACATGTTCTTGCAACATCCTCAGCATGCTGACTGCAAAAACTACCTTTCCAGATATATCTGTCCATTGTGAGCTGGTCATATGCATGCCATTGCAGCTTGGCCATTGGTCATAAACCTGAGTATTGAAGCTTTTTGTGTATTTATTTATTTATTAAATTTATATTTAATAATTTATATAATGATTTAATTATTAAATTTATAATCAGTTTTATTTACTATTTCGTTTATATGCCACCTGACTCCCAACAACTCTAGTCTCTTTTCTCAGCCAATATGTGCTATGATGATCCTTAATAGGCACAAATAATAATAATCAGATTAGTTTTTTAACATGCTGAGCATTCCTCATTATAGATGTCTATTATCATGTTGACATAACACTTATAAAATGCAGGATAGATTTTAATAAATATTCTTGTTTTGCTAAGGTAAAACTATATAAACTTTTGAGTTGTGCATAAACAAGCACAATGGGAAGGGTACAAAACTGCAATTAGAAGTACTACAGTACATCTATGAGACAATTTAGACCAATGTTTGTCAACCTAGGTAACTTGAAGATGTGTGGACTTCAACTCCCAGAATTCTGGGAGTTGAAGTCCACACATCTTC